TCGTGCCTCTCCCAGTCTTCAGGTTTGACTGATGAAAGTTTCAGATCAACACTCATCTGGAAGGTCTCATCATTGTTGGGGAGGATCTCTCCTTTGTGCACACCCTCATGAAGCTCCTCTCCATCTTTCCTCCAGAACATCTCAGCTACGTTAGGAAAAAATCCCGTAGCGTGGCAGCTGATGGGAGAGGAGGGAGACTTCTGGAGGAGAGACACTGAGGGAGGAACTAAAGAGTAAAGAGGTTTTTAGTTTGTTATGTCTTATTAACTGTACTTTAATATTACTGTTTCTGTTGTCATAGGAAAAAAGACAAGGAACACCCCAGATATGATGGATAGATAGGCTGCCAGAAGCCAAGTTAGTAAGTTAGTAAGAAATAAAGAGTTCACAGAAACACGGTACAAGACAATAAACAATAAACACAACAGAAACTGGAACTAAACTCAGGGTAGAAAACATGAAGGAAACACACAAAGATGAAAACTTTAAAAAAAAAGCCGACTAAGAATCAAACTGAAGACATTTAATAATAAACAGAATCTGAAAGACCTTCTGGGTCAAAGACCCAGGACCATGACAGTTTATCCAACATAAGCTGCTCTGCAACCCTGGAGCCGATCCTAGCTGTCAATGTGTAAGAGGTGGACAGCTCACCAGTGTATCACGAGAGAAATATAGATGCAGAGTAATAAGGAAGAGATGGAAACTGACAATAAAAGCATGAAATGAAACTAAGAATCTTAATAGAAAGGACCAAGATGAAGTTAGTAGAAAAACAACGAACAAAAAGCCATGAATGTAAAAAACAAAACACAGTGGTAAATATATGAGTGAAGAGAGGTGATGAGAAAAATTAGAAAACTGTTTTTGTTTTTTTTTAATTATTATGGACACAGAAATTGAGTCATATGAATATTGTGTCCATTGCTCTAAATCTGGTGATTTTACCTGTTTTCATCAGAGATTTCCTCCCAGAGTTCACAAAGTTCTTCAGTTTGTCAACACACTCCTGTGTGAGGAAGTACTTCTTGTATAATATGCGAGTTTTGTCTCTGTCCCAGTTATGTTTGGTTATAACAGCCTGAGGTGCTGAAGCAATATATGTCTCTGTCTTCAGGTCAAATGCAACATAATCTCTTCCATCATAACCAAGTATCTCAAATCCAGTCACCTCTTCTGTGTCTTCGTTCCACTCGCAGCCGTACATCCACTGCAAAATGTGAACACCTGAAAGATAAAGAACTGTAGTAAATGAGAGATATTCTATCTTTAGATGCTGTTCAGCAGACAGCAACCCTCAAACTGTTGTAAAGAAGCAGTC